AAACTTTTTCGTACTGGCGTTCTCTACACAAAGGTGCATGGGTCCAGCAAATCCGTCCTTGTGACGTACAGGCTTAGACCACGTGCGAGCACTATTAACTGAAGGAGCTTGCAGGTTGGGGTTTAGTGCTTGGAGCTTCAAGTCTAGAGCAGAGGGTTATTTCGGCTTAGGGTCGACTGCGCGTGACAGCAAGAACAATTTTGTTTGGCCCTGTCCAGGATGCATATTTGGCGCCGCTTGAGTGGGCAGCGCACTGTATGCGCCCTGATGCACTCCAGCGCCTCCCTGTTCCCAGCAAGGGCCAAGACAATGTAGAAACTTACCGTGCTTGGAATGTTTCAAAAGAATGTGATAGCTGTCATGTAGGTTACCAGAGAAGCGTCCGCGTTCTCAGGGCCTTTATATCCTGAGGCAGAAGTTCGAACCAGGGCTCAACTCTCCAACAGCCAGCTTTACATTGAAATGATGCCAAGCTGCTTCAATCTAGAGGCCCATTAAAGCCAGGGTGCTTGCAGCAGCGATTGTAAGGATTTGATTTGTACTTACTGGTCACCCCAACAAATACACCCCACCGACTAATGGTGACCGCAACGGATGCTGGAAACCATACGAGGGTCCGTATGTATTTCCGTGGGAGCCATTAGCGCTGGGGCAGGGGCTCTGGCAGGGGCCCTGTAATTTCACCCTGTGAGGGTTTTGGAAGATGGTTCTTGGCGGGAGACACGGCTCCCAGCCGTAGGTTGCAAGCAGGGATACGCAGTGAATTTGTTCGCAAGAAGCACACTAAGAGCCCTCCCAGAGGAGGTCAACAGTAATGTAAGCGTCGTTATTGTAAACGGGATGACAATAATAGAGCTCCCCGGCCCAGAGAAATCCTAAGATATGTGATTTTTCATTCGATTTTCATTGCGAGCCGCGAGCCATTGACTTCCTTGATACGACCTATCCGTACATCGGGGTTCAGGGGGTAATTAGTAAAAAGTGGTGGTAATAATAAAATCTGTAAAAGGTTCGCAATTGACATCAAATAAAATTCCTACTCCTACTCCTCGTGCTCCTACTCTTGCTCCTACTCAATGCCGAGAGAGCTCAGGCCCCAGAGTTTTTATTGTGACCCCCAATTTTCTGGACCTTGGTTTCGGGATTAATCCGCCCGAAACTCCGGGGAGGGGGGGGAGTTGATATAACGAACCTCACATTACTCGTTATACATTTGAATCACCCCACCCTTTTTCATCACCCTACAAAAACCCTGAGTCGCGAACCCTAAAACGAAGGGCTTAAATCACAAACCAAAAACCGCAACTCCCAAATCCCCAAACCCCCAACACGAAGCTGCGTGAGCGAGCCATGGCTCAAGAAGGAGACTTCATCAGCTCCATCCTGCGTGCGAACTTTGTTGAAGTTTGGTATCAAGCCTCATGATTATGCCTGGGGGAATAGCATGTTTCAGTTGCAGGCTTCGCGGCTTCGGAGGGTATAGTGTTACCAAATATTCAGGCTTTTACAAAAGTCTCGCTTTGTCGCATTTAAAATGCACATATTGGCACCTGTGTGGTCAGTGCGCAAAGCAGCCGCGGCCAAGACTTTCTTGGTCCTGATCCCTATAGCCAAGCCTTACTGTACTGGGTTGGCCCCTAAAAGCCTTTGAAACCCAGGGGCCTACCCAATGTATAAGGCTCTAAACCTTCAGAGAAATCTTCATCCCAAATGCCTAACTTCAAATATCCGCCAACCTCACGTCCCTGGCCCCGTCCAAGACAACGGGATCCTTTGAAGAAACCGGAGAAACATGGAGGCTTGTTCAGGGCCTTGCGCTTTGGGTTTGTAAACTGTGTATAGTTTTGGTGTGGTCTACGCGAGAACGCTAGACGCTACTCCGATTGTAGGAGCCTAGTCCCAAACCCCTGGCACCAACACCTTAGTTCTTACACCGTGAACCCGAACACCAGACCTCAAAACTTAAACCCCAAAATCCGTAAGCCCTAAATTTAGGTCCCTGCCGCGTGGTGTGCGTATTAGTCTTGAGAAGGGGCCCCCATCCAAACCTCCAATTGGGGTTTAGCGTTTGGGGCTCTAGGAGTTTAGGGTTTACAGATGTAGGGTTTAGGGGTTTAAGGTTTGGGGAGCACCCTTAAGGGGGCCCTTCTTGTCCCTATGATCTTCTACAGGATTAACTGTAGGGTGTGTTGAGAAATGTACACTTGGGGCAGAACACGAGGGATCTTCCAAGCTATGTACAATCTACAAACAGGAGTCTACACTACTCTAAGCTGGCATCCGGCGGCAACCGGGAACTGCGGCTATGCTCGTCAAGGAAGGGACTCCGGAACCATGCGCAGCCTTCGTGAACACTCCATGAAGGTTTGCAATTTTTTACTGCTTTGTGGGCTTGGGTTGCCAGAATTGGCTTAGCAGGCAAACCTGAAATCAGGCCAGGCAATTTCGGGCAGGTATTCGACATATCTCCCCCATTTGCGGGTTAGGTCAGCTTAGGCTTGCTATGGTTGGCCCTAAACTCTCCAGTCTTGAGCCCGAAGCCTGATCGCTAGACACTAAAAACCCACTATAAATCCTTCTCTCATTTGCACCACTATATCCTAAATCCCAAATCCAATGCCCCAGGCCCCCAGACCCTGTAAACGGGCCTGGTAGTAGCGCTCGGCCAGGGAGACTGGCTTCCCATGATTGCGAACCTGGCCCTTCTCCTGGATTGCTGGGGTTGGAATTTGGGGTGGAAGGTTTTTCGTATTCATGCTTCACGGCTCAGGGTTTACGGTACAGGGTTCAGGGTTTAGGGCTTATAGCGCTGCATTCCACATGGAATGTCTTGAAATACTCCCTTTGTACACTTTAAATGGGACCCAAAAAATCATGGTAAATTCCCCATATATATATATGTGTGTATATATATATATACCAGGACCCTCCTAGTACCCTTATTTGGGATTAGATGGCCCCTAATAGTGGGTACTTAGGCTAAGATAGAGGGCAGCTGGAGGGTCTAGGTAGCTGGGTACACGACAGGGTTCCCTTTTTGAGGGTTTAGAAGCCTCTTGGAAGACCTTTGGGCTTCGAAACATCAACCCAGCGTGTGAGCATGCTCAACTCTCAAAGGAAGGCTTTCCTTCAGGGATTCAGGGTTTAGGGTTCGGAGTGATAGGATTCAGGGTTTAGGGTTCAGGGTTAAGGGTTCAAGGTTAATAAGAGTTCAGGATTTAGGGATCCCTTCAGGTACAAGCGAGGCTGGATTCACTTCAAGATTGGAGGAACACCTTTGTGAAGTTCGGCCTCCCACATAACGCCGGCGTGCGTGCTTGGGAGCTTGCTCACGCTCACGTGCCCAGCGAAAATGGCGCAAAAACGGGCACTCTTTACCACGGTAAAAGCCGTTTGCAATTTTTTTCGTGTGTTATAGCCGGCGTGAGGTTCGAGGGATTTGGCTACAATTGGTGCCTGAAATTCTACACCGCCCCAAGTTCTCTTGTGGCTAGGAATCACCTAGGTGGTGCAGGATTTCTGCTTGTTAAATAGGTTACTAATGGGAGAACTGCGCTTATTCTTGCTTATCTACATGGCTTACAGGGGCTACAAACATGCTTGCAAAGCCCCCATTACCCTCTAGCAGCAGGGCTTCACAAGGCAATGCCGTGTTTACTAGGGGCACGCTCAAAAAGGCTCTGGGCGGGACTGCTCGCACAATACCAGGTTTAATGTCAGGCCTTGCAAGTGTTGCCTTTGGCTTGACTTGGCCTATGGAAAAGCCTAAAACCCAAGATCCAATCAAAGATGTCGCAAACTTTACGGATGCCTTTCAGGGTTCCCTTGGAATTGTCTTCGAAGCATGTCCAGTTTTCGGGCTGCAGCGTCAGAGGTTCATGGATAGTTAAAAGCGCAGCCAAAAGCCCCCGCCACAAGAACACCAGCATAGCTATCCTAATTCTAAGTCCACTCATGGCTGCACTTGGATCTCCAAAGAGGGTTGACAATTTAGGGTTTTGATTAGTGGGGTTTCTATGCTGACCAATCATTTGCCTCCACTGAATCCCGCTTGTATTTGAAGCTGTAAGACCTAGTGTTAAGCCTGCATGATTAGCAAAATTCTCTTTAAGCATGCTGGTGTGATTCTAGTACTCGATATACTATCCTGCCAAACTCCTACCCTCATCTAAACTAAAAGCTTCCTTTCTGCTGAGCTCCAGAGAGCTGTAACACTGGGCTAACAGGAAGACTTTGTTCTTTGCACAGCCTTTGTATCGTCAAACCCAACAGAGCGTGCGAAACCCTAAATGCCCTCAAGCAATCAAAGTGAAAATTGATGCAGCCAAGGTTCCCGCACATCGTACCTCAGGTACCAGGCTCAAATGCGTTTTAGGGAGACCCCAACTACATGAGCCATACTCTAAACTCCTAGTATCCCTCTTCATAACCCCGATAATAGTCCCAGCTATACTCCCCTGTATAACCTCCGTTAAGGAGTTAGACTCTAGCTCACATGTCCCTATATACCCCTATGCACACATTTGAAATGGACCTTTGAGCAAGGTAGGAAGGAAACAAATGTTGCAACTTCAAGTTTCTGGGCTTGCATTCTACAGTGCTGGGTGCTGAGACCTCAGGGTTTGAGTTCAGGAATTAGGGCTCGACATGTTGCTGAATGAAGGTTTCAGAGTTCTAGACAGGGAGCTAACAGCATCAGGAGCACTGTTGGAGAGCTGACTAGACGGCCTGCGACCGGAAGTGCAACTAAGCACAGAAAAGGCTGGAACCATGCTAAAGTTTGAGCACTTGAACGCTCAGGGACACCTAGGCAGCTGGTTGCTAATTAGTATGGAGCGGAGGGTCATTATCTATAACCATAAGCCACCAGCCCCAGGCACCAGCATGACATAGGTAATCATTCCGTACGCACCACTGCATAGACTTCCATCTTATCCTACATTGTCTTTTCTTGCATCCCGAGAACCTTGTATACCGAAACAAGAGTGTTCAGAACCAGCCTAGGTGCTGGTCACCTTTAGTGACAACAAGGTCACCGGCATCATTGGACCGCACGTCCAAGCATGCGATGATCCTGCAGAAGGGGGAGAAATTACGCCTGGGCAGTGAGAGGGTGCAGGGCTCATGCCTGAAATTCCAGAGGCTGCTGGCCTAGCAAGCTAGGCCGGGATGTTCTGCAAATTTTTAATGGCACAGACCCTACCTAAACCCCCAGAAATGTGTAAAATAATGGCCCCAAACCCATAATAATACCTAAAGGCCATTATTTTACATACTTATAGGGTTTAGGTAAGCTCTAGGGCTTTAAAAGGCAAGCTCCCAGCCTCCTTGCCGGCGGCACCGGGCTCGGCGAGGCCGCAGGCGCCACGGCTGCCTCACCGGTAGGGCCTCCACCCTTCAGCCAGCGGTCTAACCTGGGCGTATTTCACATTTGGGGCTTGGAGGCTTATACGTATTAGGGTTGGATTTAGGGTTTAGGTTTTAGGGTTTAGGGTTGCTAGGGATTAGGGTTTGGGGCTTACGGTTCAGGATTGAAGTTCACAAAGCTTGGGTTTGCATTCGGCTTGAAAGGTTCCAGATTCAGGCCGGCATATCAGAGATTCAGTCTGTAGGCATTCCTGATGAAGGATTTCGGATAGTCTTCAGCAACAGCAACAAGACTTGTGGCCTTCATCGATTCCACAGTGCTTCGTCATCGTCGTCACCGCCGAGGGAGCTGCAGTTGCAAGACTGGTAATACGAGTAGTCCGCCGTAGCTATGATGATGATCATCATCGTGATGGCACAAAGCTGCGAACATCAAGAAATGACAGATGTCAGCGGGCCTCCATTGCGGAGGAAAGGACTTCCTTGGAAAGAACTGCCTTTCTCGGGCTCTAGCAAAATCATCTGGAAGACCAAGTTGCGAGAGTAGAAGCCTGAGAGCCGAGCTACGGAAGTAGATGGACCCTAAGGTTACCCTTAGGTCCAGGTTCCGGACCACAAGCTCTGATCAGGCCTTGGAGTCAGCGAAGCTAGTCCAATGAGATTTGGGCATGATGATGAACCGTAAACCTCAAAGGCCAAGCTTCAAAACCTAAATCCCAACCAAGTTAGCGCTTCAGGGCTTGGGCAAGGAAACTCTAACCCATCAAACCCTACCCAAACCAATAAAAACCCCTAAACCCTAAACCCCTAAACCCTAAACCTCTAAACCCTAAACTCCTCAACCCCAAACCCTAAACCCAGTCGAGCGACAATTGAAGCCCAACAGTGCCACTCTTCCTGGTACCCATTGGGGTAATATTAGGAGTATATTTGGATCATGTTAGGGTTATACGGGGATAATGGAAAATAAAATGGAAAATACTACATTATATAGGGATTATATTAGTGTTATATTGGGATTATATGGGGATAATGGAAACATGGAAACTACGGGATTATATTAAGGTTATATTGGGTTTATATTGGCATAATGGAGAAAAATGGAAACTACTATAATGCATTATGAAATATGAGGGCTTGCAGCACTTAGGATGAAGGGCTTAGGGGCGTACAGTGTAGCATTACTGGTTTTGGGTTACGGCGATTACGGTTGTACATGGTGACGGGGGCCTCGTGAGCATTGACCGTTTAAAGGCAAAACAAGATGGGATGCACGTTTCCGCGTCATGGGTCCTGATTAGGGCACAAATCCAAACACGGCACCTTCAAATTTTGTGCAGGACTGAAACGCTAAACAAGGATTCTTGACAACTGCCCAAATGAAACCCTGAACTCACTCTAATATATTCAGGAAGATGAACCCTACTCCTTACAGGAGATCCTGTTCTTACTCTTTCTTGAAAACATCCCACCCGGAACCCTAAAGCCCTTCAACGCTCATAAAGTCCCTCTAAGCACTGCACAATTCTTGTATCCTGCATTTTCCCTGTATGAAGGGAAGGATGTACAGTCGAGAGTCTCCGGGTGGAACTGGGTGGCTACGCAGTTTCCACGCCGTACAGCACAGACGAAACGTTCGCCATACCTTTCACTTGTGCTGGGCTGTAGGGAATAAGGAATGGGAAATTCATCATGGCCCCCTCCTACTTCTCCGCTACCACCTCCTACTACTCTTACTCATCCTGCTGCGGCTGCTGCTGCTAGTAATACCGACCCGCCAGCACCGCCACCAGCAGCGCACAGCCCCCGCCACCGACGCCGCCACCACCACGACTACTCATGCTTTGACTCCAAGGCACTCGGAGCACGCTAGCGCCCAAGGCGCATGGCCAGACTCCGGCATAGGCACGCGGTAGGAGTGGACGAAGTAACCTTATTGCGCTCAATTCCAGTATCTGAGGTTCAAAGGGACTTGGTAGAGACTACATAAGCCCCGTCGGGTTTCAGACTGCAAGGGAAGAGAACAAAAGCCCTCGTAATTGCAACAGCCAGGAATTTCTCAGGCTCTTAGCCAGGACACCAGCGGAACCGTGCCTACTACTGGGATCTTACCTTTGAAGCAAACAAGACTTTGGCTTCCAAATTGACTAACCAACTCGTATCCCGAAAACACTCAACCCTGTGCCGCACATCCTTCACGTACCGCAAGCACTCTTCTCCTCCAATTTCTGGAGAAGCCCCCCCACCTACCCCAGCACGTCCTGGTTCCAACTATAAGCACTCGTACATGTGCATAACAACCGTATTCTCTAAAAGCACAACCCTCGAACATTAGCCTAACTTCTGGAGCCAGTACCTCACTTGTAAAAAAAGACAACGCCCAAAAACAAGCCCTAAACTCAAACCCATGAGGGCCTACTACTTATTAGAGCTTGTCAAACATGAGTATAGCCATTTTACTTTGCCCCATATGCTGCATTCTGGCTTCAAGTAGGAATGCAGCTCAAGAAGCATATGAACCTTCTTTCCCACAAACCAACATGGAACCCCTAAACAGCTTTTGACAAGCAGGGCCCTTGTATGCTGTTTTGGGAGCAGCTTGAACTCTGATTAAGACCTGTTAACCCCAAAGCACTTCACTTTAAATCATCTTGAAGCACTAAGCCTCGATCCGAAAAGCAAGCCCAAGCATCAACCCAAAAATCACCACACCTTAAACCCTGCCCTCACCCAAAACCCTCGCTGTCCAAGCTGCAGCGCGGTTGGTCCGCCACAAGGGGCCAGGGATCTGCCAACATCGGAGCAACACCGCTCCTGCGCTGCAAGATCACCCAATGGGGTAATATTGGGGTTGTATTGGGATAAAGGAAAAGAAAATGGAAGCTATGCTGGTATAATAGGGTATATAATGGGGTACATTGGGGTTATATTGGCATAATGGAGAAACAAACGGACAAGAAAATGGAAAATGAAATGACAACTGGGGCTATATAGGGGTAACAGTTGGGGTTCAGGGCTTAAGGTAGCCTATCAAAACGGACCATATTGTTCATCCTCTGAGCATGATCCTGTTGTCCTTCCGTGATGGAGAAAATCTTGCACCACCTTCTAATACAATCTCTGCACAATGAACTAAAGCAATTCTGGGGCTCCTCCATCCACTGCTGGTCCTACTATGGGCTTCCAAAAAAAGACCTCTGAACTATGGAGACCTTAAGTAGGAGACATGAAGGTTTCTTTGCTGCTAAGGAGAGAGTCCTAAATCTTCGCACACTCTTCACATAATCCTCAGTTGTGGATGTATGGAGTTACAACGACGACTACAACCCTCCCCCTGCCCTAAACCCTCCAAACCCTAAACCCTCAACCCACCCTAACTGCTAAACCCTAAAACCCTAAACCCACACGAAGCCCAAAACCAACCAGGGTCCAGTTGATGTTGGGCACCGCCAAGCCCAGGGAGGTAGGAAACCTGCAGGGGCAGTGTTCAAATCTGTTGGTTCAGGTTTGGTGGCAGGATTTTGGAGTAGGCTTTGGGTGTACTTGCTGGTGGTTAGTAGGGAATAAGGGAACATAATCCCTATACAGTCCCTATATACAAGTATATTCCATTATTTCCTACTAACACCCAGCAAGTTTAGGGATAAGATTGACGGTTTGGTGCGTGGGCCTGCTCGGGATTCATGGCAACATCCAGGAAAATGCAAGGAGTGCAGGGTACCTCCTAACGATTCGGAAGGGGGCATTTTGAGAAGTGAACGTCTGATGCCATCAAGGAAAAACCTTTGGGGTTGAGGGTCCGGGCTTCAGGTTTAGGGCTTTTCAAAGCCTTTTTACTTGGGGCTAAGGGTACATCATCTGAAGCTCCAGCCTACTTCCAGGATCAGGGGATTTTCTTTACCTGTGCACAATTATCCTGAAGCATCGAGCGCACATCGGAATCAGAAATCTCCGACACCCTGAGTCACGTCAGTGGCTGCAGAGAGTGCGAAGTGATGAGTCAAGCGCTACATGGTCCCTTAGAGCTAAACCTTACGCTTCAAAAAGTGAATGAAGCATTGGCAACCGCAAAATCACATCTTCGCCGTAGCATATTAGCAGTAGCAGTAGTGGAATAAGCAGTCGTTGCAGAGCAGTAGTCCTAGAAGCACAAGTAGAGGTACAGGCTGCTGCTGCTGCTGCTGCTGCTGCTGCTGCTGCTGCTGCTGTCGTGGTCGTGGCCTCCTCCTCCCCTCCTCCTCCTCCTCCTCCTCCTCCTCCTCCTGCTCCTGCTCCGGCGTCGGCGTCAGCGTCGGCCGCGGTGGTGGCAGTAGTAGCAGCAGCAGTAGCAGTAGCAGTAGCAGTAGCAGGAGTAGGAGCAGTAGCAGTGGCAGGAGGAGGACGACCGGCAGCAGCAACAGCTGAGAACACCTAAGCCACTGCCCATGATGATATGAACTCACCACGAAAGGCCTCGAAACCTTCCCAGGCAAAATGCCAAGTCCAGCTATTCCAGGGTTCTCCTCGCTGCCCTCAAAGAGCCTAACTTGTTGTGGTGGGGTTTTACGGCTTAGAACTTAGGATTTACGGCTACAACTTGCGATTTGGCACTTCAGGTTTTGGGTTTGGGGTTCGGAATTTGGGCACAGAGCCGAGCGCACTTCGGAATTCGAAGCAGCTGCAGCTTCCTAGGGGTTCACAGAGATCTTGCAGTGGTTGAGAGGGGCTGATGAACCGCTAAAGCTGTGATGGAGATGTATAGGGATTTGAAGGCATTTCAACGTATGTTTCGGGATGAAAATATCTGGACGATACAATTCTGTTAAATAGGCCCAGCACAGTCTTCGTGAAGGAGTTCGAGCGACTTCTGGAACATCCAAAGCTTTGAAATGGAAAAGAACATCACAAAAGCACACCAGAAACAACTTGGGATACCCGTACCTAACCCCACACTCCAGAAGCCTTGAACCCCTAGAAGCTCAACCAAAATGGTACGATTCATCCCAAGAGGCGTCTGCATGCCTAGGCATATGCCAAAGAAAGGACGATCCTCCTCAAGATACTTCTTGAGTGGCTCGAAGAACCTTGGGTGAGTCATTTTTAGTGCAGAGGCGGCTTAAGCAAAGGGCATGAACGAGCGCGTCAGTGGCTTGGAGCATAGTACTTCCGAATTGAGTCGAACAATTGAAGAGCTCATGCTGGAAGATATCTGATTGACTTGCAAGAACCAAAACAAACAGGGTACTCATACTCACCCCTTCCAAGCCTGGAAATTCAAGCACATAAACAACACCTACTTTGGACACACTAAAGTTTACAAATTGTACCGACTTTGGGCTATTTGGATGCCGAGGGCAAAGGACAAGGGTCTTTGGAGGCCCGTTTTGAACCGCGTTAGTTCCAGGGAGTGCGGCTGGCTCACTACGGAAGCACCCTGCGCACTTATTGGTTGGGAGTAAGCATTGGAGGAATGGACCTGTAGTAGCCACTATACAAGCCCGATGACCTGGTGGTGTCCATGCTCTTTCCCGCTTCTTCCTTTCTTAAGCCTAAGCCCCGACCCTGAAACCCCAAAACCCCAAACCCTGAACGGTAGTTCCCATGTTTTTCATGCCTCCATGCCAACAACCAGCAAATAAAAGCTTCCGAGCAGCCCATGCTTCTGCAGAGCCTCGACGCACGCACCAAACGCCCCCACGCCAGGAAAGACGATGCACTTGGCAGATTCGATGTCGCTTGGACTCTGAACCGGACGCACCTTGTTCATGATGTTAGGTCTAAGGTGCATAGTTAATGTCCCCAGGCAAAACACCTTGCATGCGTTTTTTGCTGTTTTGGCAGCGGATGAGGCCTGGAACTATCGAATACCAAGCTAAACCTTTCGCCCCCAATGCGGCTTATGGACTGAACCCAAACAATCGCTTTGGAAGCGCCAGGCCATGTCACGCCCACTGTCCCATTCACGGGTTGCGGGTGCATTGCACGTAAGGCACAGGGCTCTGGCATTAAGAGACGAAGATTCGGATAGGTTCCACTGCGCAGGGCAAGGCCGATTCATGGTCGGTTCGAGGGCTTGCAGACATTTCTGACCTACACCTGCGGCTCTAGGGATTCGGGCTTAGTGTTTAGTATTTGAGTTTGAAGGTGTCTTCGCAAATTGGCTTACGGTAGCTTTCTGGAACCGATGCCCTCTGACAACTGGATCTCTCTTGAATAAACAGTCAAAAGGTATTTTCAGTTGAACTAAGTTACCATAATGAATATGAATAAATATATAATGAATAATGGGGTTTCCTTAATATAGTGCCTTAATTTAAGTGCATTAACAGCAACCCAGTACTTTGGGGGACAAGTGTTTAGATTTGAGCGACCTTAAGCCGCTTAACTATAAAAGCTAGCGTTCAGGGTTTTGGGGAGCAAAAAAAGCTGGCGCGCCAAGAACCTACAATGAGCTCTAATCGGTGTTTCTTACAATTCTGGGTCTCCTTGCAATTCTGGGGACCCTGGTGAGAGTTTAGGACCACTTCTATCAAAAATACCCCAGAGGGCCAGATGAGCATGCTCTTGGTTGTCCAATGGCTGCTGTTGCTTGAGATTGGAGACAGTATTTGCCATCACCCAAAGATCTTATATAAAGGTTACCCACTGGACATGCTTCATCACGCTAGCACATGATTACCCAAATGTCAACCCCTGAAGCATAGACCCTGAACCCTACATTGTAAACCCCAAGCGATCCTAAACCAAAAAAAACTACAGCCTAGAGTATCTGAGCACTTAAACCCTTCACACCTTTCAGTATCACAATTCCTAGACCAAACTTTATAAACCACTGCTGTTTAAACCCTGCACACCCTAGAGCATCCTAAGCATAAGCCCCAAACTTATCCTAAGGTACAAGCCCCGCACCTTTGAAAACGTAACCCGTCTGCCCGAGGCGCCGTGTACCCCAATTTCTGGATGGCGTTAAAGACGCTCTTCACATTCCTAAGATTGGGTTAGGGTTTAGGGCTTAGGGTTTCGGCTTGCAGGTTTAGGTTTCGAGGTTTTAGAGCTTCGGGTCTGGGGCTCAGGGAAAATGGTTCACACACATTGCTACTATTCAGTGTACCAAGACCTCGGCTTGGAAGTTAAAGTAGGCTGGCGGCTTCAGAGGGCAGCTTGCTTTAACCTCCAACGCAGGCCCTTCTAGCCACAAAACCAGGACTAACTGCAGTTAGGGGGTGAGCACCCATAGGCGTCCAAGGCTCCCGGCGCCGTAGTCCAAAATCGTCACCTCCATCTCTCCGGCAGCCGGGGCTTGCTGCTGTGCGATCTATGCCCCCCCAACTTCTTCAAACGGCCTCTATCATCTCTGTATTACTCCTCCACCATTTCCAGCTTAAGTTCATTATACCCTGAACCTGCAAACCTAAACCTTGACCCTAAACCCTGCCACTATACTCCCCAGATGACAGTTTCCTGAGCTGGGACCAGCGTGGCTGCGGCTCCAAAGCAGAAAAGTTTCTTCGGTGTTTAGGATCTCAGGTTAAGATTTGAAGGTATAGAGCGGGTGGCTTAGGGGGTCCGGGGTTGTGTGGTTGGGCAGTTTAGGGTTTGAGGGTTCCCGGATTAAGGGGATAGGGTTTGGCCTATGGGTAGTTATGAGCTGATGCAAAACCAAGACAACTGTAGCTCTAACCTAGCTTAGCCGGCGTGCTGTTGATGAACTGAAGTAAAGTAACTATGATAAGAAGCCCTATCATTTACTCTACACCTACATGGGCCCATGATCGCAACTTGAACTGCCCACGAATGAACCCCCAAGTAGACCCGCCATATAGCGGCCTAAACGCCTTGAATAATATGAGATTGAAGGGTGTGCTATGTACCATATGTATACCGAGGGGTGTGCCTTACCATACCTGCAAAGGATTCCAATGTGAAGTCCTGTCATTCTACTGAACTATGGGTTGCTCCCTTAGACTCGTTCCTTCAGGCAGAGACAGGCAGGTTCGGGCTTGAATTGGGCTTCTGAAGCGAGAAAAGGAACCCACATCCCAGGCTGCTACTCCCCCGGAGAAAAGCTGTGTCTCAATTTGAGAACCTGACGCGATCTTCCAGCTACTCTGTCTAGGTTTGGGGCTCAGAGCTTTTGGTATTCAAAAAGCTTTTCTGCCGGAAACGCTATCAAATCTATGGGTCCCCTTCTTCTCCCCATTATGGGTGTCCGCAGTGACCGATGTCGAGAAACTCCCGAATAGATTCACTTAGCTTGTGTCCTACTTGCCGTTCATGATCTCTTAAATAGCTTCCATCTATCCTCCTTCGAATCTACCTTTGCAAGCTTGTCAACAAATCCACAGCCTCATCACTTGACTGAGTAACGGCCGCTGAAGGAAGAATACATTTACATATACATAATATACATATATATAGTTTTCTGTATACTCTACCGACCCCAAAAAGTTTATCATGGAACGCCCTAGTGTCTGCTATAGAGCTCATGGTTGGAAGGACATAGTCGTTATAGGTCCCCTCACATCGGCCAAGCCTCATGGGGGGTCCATCGTTGTTTGGGGTACTACAGGGCCTGTTTAATTAGGATAGGATTTAGGGTTTTGAGTTTAGGATTTAGGTATAAGGATTTTGTGGGGAAACCATATCTAATTATTTGAGCCACTGTCTAAACTCCTAGTATCCCCCTATAATCCCTATATAATCCCCCATTAAGGAGTTTAGAATGTAGCTCATTTTGGCTTCTACAGTAGCGCAACTTTCCTGCATAATGACCTGCCATGAATCTGTCAGATCACCTGGGACGTTCGCCCTATACAACCCCCCACCACAAACCCTAAACCCTGGACCCTAAACCCTAAACGCCAACTCTACCTAGACCTCCAAAATACCCATGAGAGTTACCTTCAACTGCAAAAGAATGGGCGTCTCGACCATTCTCGTGAATACAGGGGAGATCTAAATTCTTTTTGACATACCGCTAGAAAAACACTCCTTACACATTCTTGAAAATCCCTACACGCTGTGGCTCAAATTGAACAAACAACAATAATGACCAACGCAAACCCTGAGCCGGGTAGCTGAAGTGCTAACTCCGGGGGCCCGGGAGGCGGATCGTCCGGCAGGGTCTCAGCAGCAGATGTACTGGGCAAGTTCCCCTAGGTACCCGGGCTGAAGGTTTCAAGTTCCGGGCTAAGGACACATATAACTTGGGGTATGACCCATTATTACGACTATAGTCCGTTAGTACAACAAAGAGTTACAACTGCACTCCATATACTGATGAGCATGTTCGCAAGAGTCGGCCTTTCCCTTAGCCAAAGAATGCCTCGAGAGAGAGACAGTGGCCCCTGCGTGCTTACAGTTGTTGGACATGTGTTGCAATCAAATGGGTTGCTGTTCAGGAACTTAACTTAATTCAAGTTACCTGAATCTATGCATACAGTACATGATCAAGTTTCCTGATTATAGTAACTTAACTTAAGATCCTTGACTTGTTGAGAGCAACCCAGTCAAGTGCAATGGACGCAGCAACGCTAGCGGCCTCGGAAACCTTCCGGATCCCACGTATCCACAGCTGAGTGCCGGGCAACAAGCGGCTCATAGACACCTCTCGCCATGGATTGGGAAGGGGTCCTAGCTGAGTGGCCCAAAGGCCTATGCAAAGGAGGTATCTCAAAATGCTGGTATCCTTGGAATCCTCTGTCCAGGTCCGTCTTGTGAGGGCAATGCTCAGAAACTTGCAAAACTTCTGTTCGCTTGCACAGGTCCATGGACCACGCACAATCCCAAGATGTAACAAAGTCAAAAACACTCAAACGTAAGACCATAGCGTGAAACTGTAGAACCACTCAACACCTCTAGACTCTAGACGCCCAATTGCCGAAATCTAGCACAATAACTGCTTGTTTTTTAAAGATTAAAGGTACCTTTGGGGTGCCTCTATAATAAGGATTAAAGCATTGTTGGGTCTGCATTGGGGTCCCCCTATTTTGGGAAACTACCAATTCCCTTCCCCTCATC